TGCATCCACAACAGGTGTTCCCGAGTCCACTTGAAACCGAGACTATGTTGCCATCACAAATCCAACCCAAGTATTAACTCAACCCGCTACAAATACCTCTCTCCTAACTGACAAACCAAATAAAATCTTAGCTTAGCAAAACTACACAATTCCGGAAATTTCCTATGAAAAAGTACTCAAATTTATTGTCATAACTTATCTTTATATATGTAACGGTCCCTAAAATTTTCCTCTCCAAATTATAACAATATAAAGGAAGTCTTTGAAAGCTTTCTTCATGGGCCTCTCTCAATATATTTAGAGCATACATTTTAACACCCCATGTTTTCCAGTATGAAATATGTACACTAAGACAACCATTTAAAGTCTATTGGATTTGTTTTCCCCACAAGATGTTACATGCACTATCAACTAATATGCCCTTCAAGAAGCGACCGATACCTTTTTGTTGGCTTGGCGTTGATGAGGAATGAGTTGTGTGTTTGAGCAAGTGTGGCTATCTGATAGTTTAACCACTTGAAACGAATCAGTATCTTTATCTTTTGTAGTCCGTAACCACCATTTACAATTTTTCGCAAAGCAAACATCTTCATACCCTTCTTTTGTAGATTTTCTCACTGTAATTTGAAAGCCCTCAGTAACACATTTGAATCCTACTTTAAACTTAAGTTCTTATTTGCTTTTGAAGAGTTGATAAAGCTTCACATAAGAAGAATAATTGTGGGCTACAACACCTTTACGTTTTAGTTGAGCTAGTTCATGTAATGGTAGGTTTAGGCATCCCCCAATGAGTGGTTTGTGTTTCTTCAAAATCAGAAAATTAATAAGGATACTTTTCCTCTTAGGATTTTCGGGGTTTTAGGGGGCTTAGTTTTCTCCTCTTTAGATTCAGTCTCATCCCCAACAAACTCAGTGAAATTATATAAATGTTCAACTGGCTCGCCATGTGGAATTATATTGCCATCATCAAGCAACAACATTAATTTTGTCTGATCATTCTTAGATTCATCAACATCAAATTACGGAGTAACATCACCTGCAACTTTACCTTTATATCTAAAATCATCACCTTTTACAGACATATTTGATTAATGTTTAACTTGGACTTGGAAGCAACCAACGTAATTAACCCACCGAAGTTGATATCACTACTTATATCCACACCAAATCATGTATAGTTTGGAGCAATATACTGCATAGATCCATCGATACGTTTCTATTGCCCTCCACTAGAAACCTACACTCGAAAAAAATCCTTATACAAACTCATTTTTTTAGTATCCGAAAACTACCAAATTAAGGTTTCAACAACGGAGGAACAAAGACAAAGATACATGGTGCTTGTGGAAGAATAAAGAATACACAAATAGCCTAATTTTACCAATCTAGAACACCATTCCGGGATGACCGTACATTCCGGCATACAGTTTGAAATAAGTTTTTTCAGTCATGAGCATATAGATGTCAGATTCCAGACATATACCTACCAACCATTACCAACTCTGGAATAAACATAGTTGCTCGGAATACCATACTCTCGAATATATTGTCATTTAACAAATTTTATAAAAAATTGATTATTGTCAAATAACTCAATTTCTCTTGAATTAAATGTCCTTAAACTAAATTTTACCGTCGTTCCTCCTCAAAACCCTCCCGTGTGTGTTTCGAAGCTGCACGGAGACTCATCAATGGCTGACGAGGCGGGGAGTTCATCGATGGCTTCATTGAAAGATGACAAGCCTGTGATTGTTAGGGTTAAACGGAAAAGCTATCAGTCGCCACTCGAAGCTTTTTGTGAGTTCAGTTCAAGTTTCGCATTGTGTGGATATGTTTATAGAGTCTACTTACATAACGATTGAAGTTCTAAGGGCCGTTTTTTATAATTACTCTTATGTTCCGGTGTATTAGGGCTTGAAGTCAATGAAAGACCAGTGAAGCGACCATTGTTAGATTTTGAGAAACTATCTATCAACAATGCAACGTCCCAAGGTATGTGTTTGTCTGTATCTTCTGCATATGAACAGTCTTGTTGCGTTGATCGTATAATCAATACTTGAACTGCTAAGATCTTAAGTTGTTTTGCTTTAGTTTTGATATTATTTTGTGAAAATTTTCTTGGTGGACAATGATGAGATTAATAAAGTTCGGACTCTAATTATGAAGTGTTTGGATGAGTATGAGTTATGAACAAAGTCTAGTTAAAATGATGATTCTAAGCGATATTTACCGTTTTGTTACACTGCAGTTGAGGAAGTGAAGCCCAAAAAGTTTTTTGTTCAACATGTGGATACTGTGAGCAGCTCTGATGTTACTGTTGATGTTCTTCAGTCATTTGTGGCTAGTAAGGTGATCTTTAAATACTTATCATCTTCTTCATATCCTTGTTTCTCATCCATTATATAAATCTTTTTGTTGGTTGTTCTTATTGTATTAGCCTACTTCTGCTGATGCACTTGATTCTAAAGCAAAAGTTGAGGACCAAAGGCGTAGTAATAAGACTGAAAATGTGAGATCTATATCTATTATAGTCAATTCATATTTGGTTACATAGGGTAGATGCTAAAGTGTTGGTTCTTGTGTTCTTTCTCTTTCTCTCTATTGCAGAAACAGAAGCAGTTGCTGGTAAAAGCTAAAGAAACACAAGAGGTATATTTTGAATTATCTTTTACTAATACATTTTTTATATTTGGTAAGTTGTATATTAAATGCTGATTCCCTCTTAATCTTTGTGCACCAGATTTTGGCAAAGAATGCACGCTTTGAGCAAATATGGAAGAGTCGAAAGGGGAAAGACACTGCTGCTTCTGATGATGCATTGCGTGACGTGTGTCATCTTTATGATGTTGTACGTGTGGATGCTGGGGAGACTAGTGGGGTCCACGAGGAAGAGTGAGTTCTTTTTTTTTTTTCCGATTTAGTGTTGTCTGGATAAACGGTGTTTAAAAGATATCTGATAAAATTACGATAGGAAATGGAAGGAAAATATAAATTTGATCAAATTAAGAAAAAAAACATTATTCCCGTGTGATTATGCAGAGATGAGGAGGATGAAAGGCTATTGCACAGTTTCTTGCCTCTATTACGGGAGTTCATTCCAAGTGCTGCAGAAGATATTGAATCTGAAATCGACTATCAAATGATAAAAAAAGGTCTTGCCTTTTGTTTTTGATCTTATATTGATCATTATAGAACTCAATTTTCTTTTTCTTTTTTGTTAATAATTCTGTGTTATTGAAATCAATGAATAATTAAACAGCATCGAAGGATGAGTATGTATATGATTTGTATGCTGTGAAGGATGGAAACATGAGCATGATGGCTGAAAACACATCATCCCCATTTCCATTGTAAGGATTCAACACTTTTTTTTGTGATTTCCATGAATTACCTTTTTGCCCTTGCCTTATAAAACCCGTTCCTGCCTTTTCATGTAGCGTCCAAGTCAATGAAGACGATGATTTCTACGATGGCCCGGATAATTCAGACTATGAAACCGATGATTCCAATGGTACATTTCAGTTTCATTACCACACATATATTGTTTCAAACCCTTTTAGGCTTTGTACTGTTTTTTTGCATGCATTGGACTGAGACTGTAACTGATGTCAGATGGGAAAAAAGCTGCAACTTTTTGCGCCGCCCAAAAAGGCACGACAGGGACTTGTTTGTGCAAAAGACATTAATGCCCTTTAGTCCCGTGTAGCAAAATGCAGAGATATGTGTTTATGTTGTTTGTTTGTTTTGAGAGTTCAGCTGAGGACAATCCCATGAATGATTATCCTGATGAAGAGGAAGAAGAAGCGAGTGAAAGTGGTGATGAAAATTCAGAGGATGAAGATGAAGAAGAAGAAAAAGAATCTTCAAAATCGGGAAGCATAGGAGGCGAGGAGTTGTCTGAAGATGAAAATGAGATGCTGACAAATTTTGATGAAGATGAAGATGAAGATGATGATGAGATGTATTGGTAATGAGTTTAGGGTTCTGTATTATTTTTGTATATGAAACATGTTGTTTGATCGTTCATAGTTTGTGTTGACAATAGGTAGTTGGATATTTGCTGCTTTTGTTGTTGATTTTTGGTATACTTTTCCCTTGCAAAACCTTGAGTGGATATATAATATAGATATATGTGGAGGCTAGTAAACTGCTTTAGATCTTTTTTCCCTTAAAAGAAAGGCAACACTTTCAGCTTCGGTTTGCAAACATTTGAGTTATGTATTTTTGTTGAATTCACATCATAAACAATTTTTAATCTGTGGGTTTGACTGATAACAAACAATTCCCTAGATTTGGTTTAAAATTGAATTTTTTTTTCTACCTTAAAGCTTGAGATTGATCAAGAGGTTTGTATGTTAAATTTATGGAAAGTAGTCTCTAGTATATGATGAATCAATGTTCATCAACTTAGTTAATGGAAGAAGTACCTGTAAAGTTGATTAGGTCATTTCATCTCCAACCTAAAGTCAAATCCCATTTTTAACACCATTTCACTCCAAGCAAACACTATTTGTTACACCAAAATGCTTTAAAAAGAACGATATAACATCAAATTTTTGATGATGTTATATACTACTTGATTGCACCAAAATGGTCTAATAAGTAATAACCTACTATCAACCTCAACATGCGACAAGTTTAGTTTTGCTTGTTTAAACAATTTGCCAGTCGGTTTGAGAATTGATGAAAATTAAGAAGACTATTATTATTATGATCAATAAAACAAGTTCAAATCAAGAATCACTTCCTACACTCTTTTAAATAAAACAACTAGTATTTTTAGCAAAAAACAACCACAAATGCTATGTTAAATTCAAAAGAGAACTAAATGGTCCATGTCTCATGTTTTTTTTTTTCTTCCATACACAGAAACATTCCAGGTTCAATTCTCTAACCTAAAGTTGGTGTCCAAACCAAAGTTTATAGGATGCTCCAGAAATCCAAGAAGGCTTGCATTATTTTCTTCATTTTCTAGTTGAATATGTTCCAATTGCACAAAAGATCAAACGCAATGTCATTCCATTCTTTGTATGACTTTCTTGCAATCAGGCTTATAATATAGAAGCGTGTGTTGTGCATGTCTTCATCGCATGAAAGGAAGCAACCATCTCATTTCTGAACCATTTCCATTTGCAAGGAAATATAATTTCTTCCATCCTTCCTCTGAGAATGCTTCACGACGTATCAGCCTTTGCCTGAGGTTTTACATAATTCATTCATGTCAGTTGAGTTGCATGAACTGCTAAAAATCATACAATATTTCAGCAAGTATACCTACCTGAGATAATAGTGAGACACAACAGAAGCTTCATCGAGAGTGTAACGAGGAAACATAACACGTGCATTCGTAGGAACATCTGGCAAATCTTTCCTTAGCTTCCCAACTGCTGTTGAATGAGAGAAAGCACCTATCATCATGTTGTCATGCATCATGGAACGAAATGCATTCACCTAGGGACAAACATTACAACCTTCAACATAAACTAAAAAAGAATATTACAATGATTCTAGAAGAAATTAGAATAACCAACTAACCGTTGCAACTTCTTTAGCATGAATTGGACGAGATGAGCGAACAGTCATTGGCTCCTCAAATTCAGTGAATGTGAACCAACTGTTATACTGCTCACACGGTTGTTATGGTCAGAAATAACAGACAGAATATGAAACTTGCAAAGAGAAAAAGAGAAAAGAGGAAAAGTCAACTCACTTGGTCAATTGCAAAAAGAACAGGTATATCTTTTACAAGTGACAACTCTTCCCCTCAAACGAACCACAACTCCAACAGAAGCATGTGTTGTAGTGATTCCCGTTTGAACCAAATCATATAAAGATGAACCTTCAGGCATTGCCATTGAATCTGCATCCTTCATCCTCCCAACACCAGCACCTTCACCAAGTGGTATGGGATCAAATATCTTACAAGGCAGCTTCATTAGAGATGATTCATTGTACTTCAAGAAATCCTGCAAACAAGAAATAGTGCACTTCATTAGGGACATTCGATTGCATGTTGATAGAAATTAGAATTCTTGCCTGCAAAATGTTGGCTGCTTGTACAGGTGTGTCCCACAAACCAGTTTGAGGGTTTTTATAGAAAAGTCCTCCATGAGTCCAACTTCGACCTTCTGGAACATACAATACCAACCAACCTTCATCACGTGCCCAGTGAACAAGCATTGCAAGAGCAATACTCTTTCCACAGCTTACAGGCCCATCCAATACTATTTGCTTCTCAACACTTAAACCCTGAGAGTGAAGATGAGAAACAGCAAATATAACTACTACAATCAGCTTCTGAAGAAATACAAGAAACAGCAAATGTGTCATAGAAGCAATAAGCTAAAAGCACACCTTTGCTGTTACTAGATTGCAATGTTGGGTCAACAATACGCCTGTAATTATCCCGGAGATCCAAGAAGCTGTGTCGTACTAGCAATGCATCTCTCATTGATTCATCAAACTCTTTCTCCATTCCAACTGGTAATTTCTCCGGCAGCACCTCCTCCAGTTTCTTCCTACTGTATACCAAAAAAAGCGAAGTTCCGGTATTATAATTATGGAATGCACCCACATCAAATTCAATTCCTAGCATTTGGGCAATTCAATTTCAATGTATGACGTACAGATTCTCGAAATGTAAGAATAGAAGCGTACTACTCGATGGATAAAATTTTAGATTTGCAAATGTACTGGTGAAATAGAAGGTATAGATAATACCTAAACTTCATGTAAGTACAGGCGTCCTTTCTACTGAGTTCAGATAAAGAAGCAGAGGAAGTAAACAACGGCCGTCCGTTAGGGCCGATGTCAAGTGACTTATCGCGCTCATCTTCATCGAGGAGGCGCCTCCGGTTTCTTTCGTCCGAGATGAGATCATGAGCTACATCATCGACAGAGGAACCAACAGCCTCTTCCTGTTTCGACTTTGGTTTTCACATCGGCTTTGGATTTAGGCTGAGCTTTCTTATTGCCCGCCTTTGCACCCGACGATTTGGCTTTCTTTACCGCGAAGGTTCTGGAAGATGTCAACTGAGAAGATTTCGAATTCGATGCTGCAATGGAGGTAGGGATGAGAGTTGATTTCGCCTGTGCAGAGGCGACTGCTCGGAGAAGCGAACGCAACATTTCTGTTTCGACGGCGGCGGAGTCCGATGGATGTTTGCAAATACGCAAAGGGTGAAAACCGAGGGCAAAGATGTAATTTCGAAACTTGTGTCTATGACTGGGCCGGTTTGCTTTCAAAAAGGGCTGGGCATTTGTTGTGGAGCTTTTGTTGGACCGTGCTTTTTAGTATTAATTGAAAACTAATATTATGGTTTAAAAAAAACACATTTTTTGATTTACCCCTGCCCCGCCCGGAAAAAAAACAAAAAAAACAACAAAAAAAAAACAACAAAAAAAAACGAAAACTCAATTTAGGGCTCCACTCCTGTGGCCTCCTCCGCCCATCGTCGGCCACATGCGGCCTACTCCACCCATTGCTGGCCACCCGAGGCCTCCTCCACTCGTCGCCGATTCATCTCCAACACGGAAAACTTAAAGGTATGCAAAGCTTTTCTCGATTCTGATTCTTCCTGTTTCAGTTACTTGCAATGCGATGTAGATCGTGATTTGATTCATTTGGAATGCATTTCTTATAATTTTCTTTTGATTATTAATCACCCTCTTGCGATGTACAATCTAAAATTCGGGATAGAAACATGATATATATTTGTTGATTAGAGGTATTAACGAATTTTGACAAAATAATTATCAAATATTAATTTAGTCTTTAACCGGTTGTCAAGTCCATTTTAAACTGTATAAGGACTGGACTGGAGGACCAGTCTAGGTTCTTATCAATCGAGTCTTTTTTGAGGGCCTGTTTGTGGGTCAATTTTGCCCATCTTTTATACCATAAAATTTGAATATGAAACCTTGGCTTAACTTGTACAATGCAAATTAAACTGAATTCATAATATATAATAGGGGAAATCTCCAGAAAAATCCTAAAATTTTAGTACAATTTATGAAAAAATCTCAAATTAAATTTTGTTTATAGAAAAGCACAGAATACCGGCTAAAACTTCGAAAAAAAACTCTTTTCGGCCGGTTTCGCTGTTTTATCCAGTATTCTGTTCTTTTTCATTAGTTTGCTCAAAATTTTGGAACTTTTCCGGAAATTACCTGATAACCAAAATATTGGGACTTTTCTGAAAATTACCATGGAATTAAAGGTTATTATTATTAACAAATCATTTATAAACATAATGAATATTTTTATTTATAAAAAAAAGGAAATACACTTGTTGCTAATTTCTAGGAATAAATTGGTGGTCTAAGTACTCATCTATTGCTTATTGACCACATCGAACTCTCTACATTCCTCATATGCATCGTTGTGTGTATGATTGTGAGATGTACTCAGTGAGTGTTCCTCTAATGTTGGTGTTCCTATTATGTTGTTTAACTTAACTACCACCCAACATCTACACCTCACATGGTAACAACCATATGTTAACACACATCTATCAAATGTGAAAAAGTGAATCGTGAATGATAGTTTATATGGAAACAAGTGAATGGTGATTATCTTTAAACTGTCATTCAAAGTTTACTTTTCACTATGTGTGTAATTTGATGGTTGTTACCGAGTAATATATGGAGGTTAGGTGGTATTTAGGATAAAGAACATAATGAAAGATATATATGTTCAAGAATCATTGTGTACTGATATTTTCTAATAACATATGATCCTATAGCGTCACGCCTAATAGCAAGTAGACACTTATTGATTGTGTATTAATAAATATTATCAACTCTTGTTTTTTATTGAAGAAACGTACATATTACATTCCACTATGACACCCACAACGATACATAGGAGGAACATAGAGAGTTTGAAGTGGTCAACAGAAAATAAAGGAGTACCTAGTCGACCATTATATTCCTAGAAATTTGAAACAAATGTATTCCTTTGTTTGTAATAAAAAATATTTGTTATGTTTATAAATGATTTGTTAATAACAGTATCCATTAATTCCATAGTAATTTTCAGAAAAGTCATAATATTTTGGTTATCGAGTAATTTTCAAAAAAAATACTAATATTTTGAGCAAACTAACAAAAATGACAGAATACCGGCTAAATCTACGAAACCGGCCAAAAGGATTTTTCGAAGTTTTAACCGGTATTCTGTGCTTTTCTATAAACAAAATTTAATTTGAGACTTTTTCATAAATTGGACTAAAATTTTAGGACTTTTATGGAGATTTCCCTATGCATGATGTATTGTTCGACAGTGCAGGCTGCATAATTCTATCTCCAATATCTCCCTAAACCCTAAACCCTTTTAATTCAATCTGAATCAATGTAATGATACATACATCGATTATAAAGGATGGTTTGTTAATGAGGATGAAGACATCTCAATGGCAGGAAGTTATTAATTTGAATCTCACTGGTGTATTCCTATGTACACAGGTATGATTCTTGATTAATAATTATTCTCAAATATTTTCTTTACTAAATCTTTATATTTTTGTTTTAAGATTATGATGAAGAAGAAAAGTTAATTTTAATGTTTTTGTTTTTGTAACTAGCAATGTTGGAGTTTTTTTTTTTTTTTTGTTTTAACAAACAATGTTGAGTTTTTTTACCTTAAAAACGTTGTATGTATAATGTTGGAGTTTTTGCATCTTAAAATATATTATATGCTTAATTTATGATGGCTAAAATTTGTTAGTCAAAGGTTTGTATAAGAAAACATATATTTAAAATAAAAAAAAAACAAAAATAAAAAAAGATTAAAAAATTGTTATTTAAAAAAACAATAAAAAAAGGTAAAAAACGGAAATAAGAATTGTTATTTAAAAAAATAATAAAAACAGTAAAAATGTGAAATAAAAGAAAGTGAAAGAAAATTCGAATATTTAAAATAAAAAAACATTAACAAAAATTGGAAAACTAAAGAAAAATGAAGAGAAATACTAATATGGTAAATATTTTTGAAATAACATTAAAATAGGAAATAACTTTTTTCAATATTTTTAAAAGTAGATTAAAATAGGAAATGACAAAAACTCATTTGTTGTGTTCTTTGTGCATTTTAGGTCCATTTACAAGGAAATACATCAAATTGATCATCTCATTGATTATTTATTTTATACTAGGTATGAGACCCATGTATTATATGTGTTAATTTATAAAAAAACTACATATAAAAGTCAAAATATTTGAGAACTTTGAATTTATAAGAAAATAAGAAAAATAATAAATTATTATAATAGAAATGTTTTTTATCTTTTAAATTTAAATAAATAAAATAAACCAATGAGCTTTAATTTTGAGAATTTTGAAATTAAAAGGTAAGTTCATTAATGAAATTAATATACATTTATTTCAATTATTACATTAAAATATTATGTGGAATTTAAAAAAATAGAAAAACTTATAAAATGACATGTGGAAAAAAAAATTCAAAATAACCATAAAATTACATTTGGCAAATTAAATGAGAGTGTGATAAGTGACAACAAAACCCTCATTTACTAGAGAGGATTTTCCACACAAATTTTCTAATGTGATCTTATATAGGGAACATTTATGCAAATTTGTTATTAGCCACTCACTATTTCTCTAGTTTTGTAAAATTTAATGGCAATTTCTGTAAATTTTGCTTTAGGCACGGATCATTTCTGTAATTTTATGAAACACAAGGAGCATTTCTATAATTTTGTGAAAAACAATGATAATTTATGTAAATTTCCTAATAGGCACGGACCACATCTATAATCTCCTTTTATAATAAAAGACCATTTTTTTGTCTACGTGTCATTCTCTATGCTCTTTCAGTTTAAGTCCAATTACTAAACTACCATTTTATAGCTTAAAATTGGTCATCTGGAGGATGTTTGAGATTACTTTTTAACTTCAAAAGTCATTCTTGTAAAAGAACCTTTTGAAAAATGAGTTTTTTAAAATGTGTTTGGATTAGCTTTTGAGGGCAAAAATCAAAAATTGTTTTTAAAAAAGTGGTTGTCTTAACTTTTACCTAAAAATGACTAAAAATGACATGCTTACATGTTTACAATAATTTTACTACTTTACAGGTACTATTTTATACTTAACAGTTTTTTTACACATATATTATAATTTTTAAACATTTTATTAGAAAATATAAAATATAAAATTCTTTTAAAATATTTCTAAATTTTTTATTAGACAGTGATAATATTAAAATTACTTTCATACAAATTGTAAATAATTCATAAAAAATATCATAGATAACGTCATATTACATTCATCCCTGCAATGTGATTATATCTTGTGCAATAATATCTTGTATCGCTGCCCTATACGAATCATCATCACTTGTGCGACGTGTACTTGGACCTTCTTCGTAAACTTCACTACTAGTACCACCTCGTATGAGATTGTATGATTCTTGTTGTGCCCTATTAAACGCTTCATCATACCTACCAACCTTTCTAATATAGTTACGGATCGTCATCGATGCTATCATAATTCTCACTTGGTTCTTGTACTTGTAATTAACATGCATGTCTCTTAATAACACCCACCTAGCTTTTCACACTCCAAAAGTTCGTTCAATGATATTTCTCAATGATGAGTAGAGATAGTTAAATTTCTCTTTCGGTCCACGAGGTTCACGAATAGCAGTCGTGTGTCCACGTCGAAAATTCGGTAAATGATAACGAATATTTGTGCCTTTGTATGGAGCAAGATACCCTCTGGTATTTGGATATCCAGCATAAAAAACGTAATATTTATCTATAAATAAAAACAAAGATTTGTTATTCGTTTCAAAGAAGTAGTAAAAACATAAAACTTGTGTTCCAAAATTTTTTATCTTAACCACCCGTGGATATGGAAAATTAAGATCTGGTCTCTATAAGACTTCATTGAAAATTCTTGTGTCGTGTGCAGTCCCCTCCCAACCGACCCATACAAATATAAAACACATGTTAAGATCACAAATGCAATCCTTCAAATACAAAAAGATATCACAAATAAATCATTTGTTAAAGTTTGACTAACAAGTAACTGAACATTGGATAATACCTTGAACATTGGATGATACCGAGGGTTATTTAATATATATATATATATATATATATATATAT